AAAATTAAACGGCTAAATATATATATTTAAGTATTTAATTATAATATGTTTCAGTAATGAGGAAATACGCTGACATTTGAAGGAAAAGAGGCATGAAACACGTTTTATTATTAATGGTTTATCATTAATCCCCATTTGGAACGTTAATATAATTTAATTTCTGTTTTTAAGGGCTAAATACTGATGATGACCAAGTTGAAAAAGTTATTAAATTTTGGTCAAATTGAGTGGACAATTTCATGATTTTGGGCAAACAAGGTCAAGGAGAAATTCTCAACTTTCCAACAATATATTAGTGGAAGACAAATTATGCTCCCCAACTAAGTTAAAAATCGTCATTAGCCACCATAATATAGTTCTTAGATTAATAAATCATAATTCATTCCAATTAAGTACAATATGTAATAATTTTTAAAAAAAAATCCGCCCAGCCGTTTCATTTCCGTATTGGAGGAAATGGGATTAGAACCCATAATACAATTTTCTTGTACGTCGATTTAGCAAACCAATGCCTTAAGCCACTCAGTCATATCTCCAAGTTATTGATCGAAATGAAATTGGATGTGTCGGGGTTGATTGCTTGTCCGTAGTAAGGGCTATCTGATTCAATCAACTATGTAATGTAGCATGCTAATGCGCGTACGGCCGGCTGATGAAAATAGACTGAATATCAAAGATATTTGTGTTATTTCGTCATCGAATACTCAGCAAATTATAGACCACTTCAAATTTTTATTTTCAAAAAATAATCTACTCCGCAAATATCTCTTCCATATAAACAAATCTTCTGCATGCAATATGTATATGGCCTTAATTTGACAAAAAGTCTATACATTTGTTTGCTTCTCTTCAAATATTATTATCAGTGTTTGCAACAAATTTTAAAGTGATAGAAAACAAACTAAAATCACAAATACAATATGAAAGAAACATGATTTTATTGATAAATAGTGTGGGGTATAATTATGTTCCTCCCTTGATTCTTCTCTCATAAAATTTATCCATGATTCGAGGACCGCACGGTGTATTTCTCGAACTAGGATGATTTGGATTTGATATCTTTATGAATATTCCATAAATTTGTGGTGGAATTTTCGAGATGCGAATATAGTAGCCTTTATATAGGCATGAACTAGGTTAAGTAGCCTCCAAAAATCCTAATTAGAATTGAACACACTTTGTAGAGTCTCAACTCGAATTGAATGTAGAGTCTCACAAAATTTTAATGTCTACAACTAGTCGCTTATTTGACTTTCAATCGATATCTGCAATCTTCATCAATAATTGTCCTTAGATGATGAAGTCGAATGTAGACAATTTGCTTTCACTTTTAAATCTTTACACCTCATTATTTTTTGCTAATTGTAACCCTTGTTTGATATTTCATTAATCATATATAGTTCTTTAATTTATTGCAATCTCTTGTACTTCCTTAGGACAATTGAGGAGGTGAAGAAGAATTACATATTTGTAAAGGAATTCACCTTTTTAAGAAAAAATTATTTCATTTGGATTCTCATGTATATATTAGAATAGATTCATTAGTAGATTATATTGTGGACTAGAAGAAAATTGAAAGGTGTTAACTTCGAGTTAAAGAACTCAATCTTTAATCGAGTGCACCATTTAGCTTTTTTATAGTATAATTATCAACAGGTAATAATATATCAATTTTAATAAAATAAATATATACATAAAATATCTAGTTAATTTTATAAAGAGATCATTGATTCACGTATCTCATAATTTAGGCTATAAATAATTCGCCAGCGTACCTAATATCATGTGAAGCAAGAACTAAATGAGTCTGAACTTTGACACCATGTTAAAATGTGCGAGCATCTCAACTAAAAAACATATTGTTGAATTAAAGTGAGTTATCAATAAGCTGCAAAGATCTAGATGGCTTCCTCCTCCTTCTTCTTTTTTCCCTCTCTTTTTTGAACAAATAAAAAGCCAAAACTGTTGGGAAATGACAGATCAAGCACAAAATAAATTTATGTATCATGTGTTCCAGCAATATGCCATGTCCTCAAATTCATGATAGCTCAAAAATTCATCACTATTTCCTATGATAATTACTAAAAGATTACAGACAAACTACATGTGAGTTTCTTCAATTTTGCTATAGTTGACTGAGAGTGGAAAGGCCACTAAATGACACAAGTGATATAAGTAGTGTCTAAAGAGAAGGCATTAGTATCATTCAATGTGAAAAATTAGGATTTTATTTTTTTTGGTTTTTCATTCGATGTTCGGAGCCCACATTGGAGCCCCGATATATTAAATTCTGATCACACACTGCCGGACCCATTCGGGGTGGACGCTCCCAATAGAATTTTCTCCATACCCATGACTCGAACCCCACACCTTTGATTAAGGGTGAAACAGTCTCACTATTGCACCACAAAAGTTTATCACAAGGCTTAATTAATTTTTAGTGACCTAGCATCCTAGACAAAGGTATTTGATCTCAAATCAATATAAAAGTAAACATCTATATCATCCATCATCCCTGCTTTAATATATCTCTAATCACATGGGAAAGGAAGATCAACTTTTGGAGATATAGATTGCTGGACCTGCCTACTACATCTTTTTCTTTTAGTTCCAAATTCAGTGTTCCATATCTGTATTGAAGCGCTTACTAATTTATATTCGCATCATGTAAAGTCTCGTAAAAGAGAAAATACAATCTATCAGAATTTTTTCATACACAGTGCTTAAATATGAAAGCTCTGGGGGGGTGGGGGGGTAATAAGAGGTGAAAAGGAGACAATCAATTGAAATGTAACTTATGAACCGTGATTTTTCTATTCCCATCGAGGATATTATTTTTCCGATTTTTAAGGAACATGTTCCCTTTAGAGGACCATTAACAATGACAAGACTAATTTTTATGAACATTAATTATGAGTAACATATTTCTTTCTATTAACTTAAAACTTTTTATTTATTAAAGCGAGCAAAGGTCTTGAATGTTGCTTGATCTTTAAGATGATATATTAATAGTTATTATCTCATAAAATCACTTTCTTCGTTAAAAGAAATACTATCACCATAATGAAAATTACTGAAATATACGTCTTATGTTTCCTTTATTTCCAATATTCCCTTCTATTTCTAAAAACCTTTAAAATCCCTTTTTTCTCTCCTAATTCTAAATTATTTTATAATGTATCCGAGCTAGTTTTTAATGTATTCGAGCTAGTTTTTAATGTACCCGATTTATTTTATAATGTATCCGAGCTAGTTTTTAATGTATTCGAGCTAGTTTTTAATGTACCCGATTTATTTTATAATGTATCCGAGCTAGTTTTTAATGTATTCGAGCTAGTTTTTAATGTACCCGATTTATTTTATAATGTATCCGAGCTAGTTTTTAATGTATTCGAGCTAGTTTTTAATGTACCCGATTTATTTTATAATGTATCCGAGCTAGTTTTTAATGTATCCGAGCTGCATATTATGTATCCGATTTGTTTTACTTTTTCAGGGATTAATGTAATTACAAACTAAATAGGGATAGATTGTAATTTCATATTAAAACTATGTGATTCCTAAAATTTGTACCACTTATAATTCTCTATATCAACTCTAATCAAGCATACTTAATTCCTCTGTCTTTGCACTAATTAATAGAGTATTCTCCTTATTGTCATCGTTTGATACTTCATCAGATTTTTTGTTTTAAAATTTAAATTTTGATAGTCATAACACAAAACTTCAAATTCATCATTCCATAGGCCCATGGGCTTTAATACTATGAACTTTCTAATGGCCTGTCATCTTCGGGCTTGAAACTTTTGGGCCTTAAGGTATAGACATTTTTCTAAGTTTAGACACTTCGGCCTGAAGGACAAATCTTTTTATTTTAGGTCGCATGTGATGTATGTGCATCTTTTTCTTCTTTATTGATTATAAAACATACTAGTTGCTCAACACGTGCATTTAAAAAAAAATGGAGAAGAGCCAATATGTGTCACTTTGCCACATATTATCTATTATCTACCTTAACATTTTGGTGGTTCGAGTTGAAATATAAGAGTCAATATGTGTCACTTTGCCATTTATATTGCCTAAAGACCCTTATGATAAAAGTAATTGTGCGTTTTAGGGCTAAGTTCCTCGATGAGAAGGTAGGAATTGTTGAAGATCTACGTTTATGGGTTTGATAGTTTTTGGTCTCTTTATATAATCTTGGGTCATTTTTCACTAATAAGCTATCTATTAGGATTGAGTTAAGTCCAACGTCTATTTCTTTATGACAAACTTTTATCGTTCTATGAGAATAGGAGATCACAATATTCTGATTAAATGAGCATTTGGCATGAAAATCAAATATTATTGTTTGGAATTTTTAAATTTAGAATTGAAGTTGTTTCTTGCATATTTTTTGCAAATAAAAAAAATATAGGCCGACAAGTACCGCACAGGATAAGGCTTCTACATCAGCATTGGAAATAACGACTTGACCGATACAGATATTAAAATTATTACATTTATTTATTTTAGCAAATTAACAGAATAATATTTATCTTTACATATTATTTTTTCAATAAATAATTATATAAATTACTAAGTCAGATTTGTATTTTTCAAGTTAGAATTGATAAGGGTTAATTTAGTAAAATAAATCCTTAATTGTTCATAATATTATTAAATTATTTGTCAGTTTATAAAACAAACATAAAATTAATTATATTTTTCTTATTTTACCTTACAATTAATTCATTTTGCAAATGTAAATAAATTTATAAAGTCTCAACTAAAAATACATCAATTTTATCTAACAAACTAAAAGAAATAAATCATATAAATTGAAACAGAAAAATTATACAAACGTCAGTGAACAGGTCATGTCACATGTGTCTCTAGAAATTTCCAAAATAGACAGCAATATTTAAATGAAAAGAAGCTTCCACGACTTTGTATTGGCAAGTCAACACTACTTGTCAAACAAGAAATTCATTTAATTGGCACCTACGCCAACATTATATCACAAAGTCCATAGCAATCCGCTCCCATTTTCGCACCGAGCTATAAAAGAACATCAAAGAATCAATAACACAAGCATAACAAAATCTTCAACACAACTAGAAGTTTATTATAAAAATATGTCAGGAGTGAAATTGCTTGGTGTTAATGGGAGTCCAGCTAGTCAAAGAGTTGAATGGGCTTTAAAGATAAAAGGGGTAAAATATGAATTTATAACAGAAGATTTACAAAATAAAAGCCCTTTACTTCTTAAATCCAATCCAGTTTATAAGAAAATCCCAGTTTTGTTACATAATGAGAATCCCATTTCTGAATCACTTGTTATAATTGAGTATATTGATGAAGCCTTTGAAGGACCATCTATATTGCCTAAAGATCCTTATGACAAAGCTATCGCTCGTTTTTGGGCTAAGTTCCTCGATGATAAGGTAATTTTTTTATTTTATTTTTTATGTATGCTCTCGTTTGATCATAAATTTTAAAAAAATATTATTATTTTTCTTAGTGCTTACCAGCGGTGTGGAAAGCTTTGTGGAGCCAAGGAGAGGAGCAAGAGAAAGATAAAGAGGAAGCTTATGAGGTCCTTAAAGTTCTTGATAATGAACTTAAGGACAAGAAGTTTTTCGGGGGAGACAATATCGGATTTGTTGACATAGTAGCCAATTTTGTCGGATTTTGGATAGAAATTGTTGAAGAAGCCACTGGGGTTGTACTCGTGACTAGTGAAAAATTTCCTAATTTTTGTGTGTGGAGGGATGAGTACCTAAATTGCGACAAAGTAAAGGAAAATATGCCGTCCAGAGAAATGTTGCTTGGTTTTTTTAAGTCTCGGGTTCAAGCTGCTGCGGCTACTCTCAAATGAATATCTAAATCCAATTTCCTATGGGTTTAGTTTTACATACTTGTAGTGGTTTTTTTGTGCTATACTTGAATCAAGAGTGTATCAAAAATAATCTTTTTATCTTTTGAAGGTCTCCGTAAAGCTGCATACACATTAGTACCCTCTCCAAATCCTATTTGTGAAATTACATTAAATATGTTATTATTATTTATGTTTTCTTTTTGGGAATAAAAGATGTCATTTAGAGAAATATTTATCTAGCCAGCTTTCTAGGAATAAGACTTGTAAGTTTATTCATCGTTATACTATCGATTAAATATATTTCTGCAATCATATAAGTATTTAAAAATATTCCTATGTGGATGAATCGCCCAAATTCACTTTAAATATCCCATTTCTATAAAATAATTTGTTCCCCACATCCACGGAGGAGTACTTTTGAATACTTTCCTATAATATAATGAGTGAAAAATTTAACTAATAAATAAAAGTGAAGAGATATTTTTAATCCTTTTTCCAAATACGAAATACAAGAGAAAATTAAATTGTACTGAAACCAACAAAACTTATACAAAAATCTCTTTACGTAATGCGCATGACTAAAAAAATGAAAGCATTGGATAATGAATATCTAATACTTGATAAAATAATTTTGATAACTTATTAGCAACACTATGTAGTATATACGGAAAAGGGTCAAAATTGTCCCTGAACTATGTGAAATAGATTAACTATACCCTTCATTACATTTTGGGATAAAAAAATGCCTCTGTTGTTATCCTAAGAGACCACAAATACCCTCAAGAGTTAACACCCCAATTTTTTATCGACCTGGCAAGCCACGTGGGACTAATCCTTCCACCTAAGCGTTGTCAACTAGGATTCACTATAAAAGAACTAGACCTTTAGCAGCGACAACAATCGCCACAAAAGCCCAGAAAATCGTCACTAAAAGTTTTTTAACATTAAATTCTAATTTTGTGTTTTTTTCTTCATTATTTTTTAAAAACTAAAAATGATATCGATTAAGTAGGAGTTTGAAGACACTGTATGTTTTATTTTTATGTCATATGTAAATATATAAAATGTACAATGATATATTATATAGTAGAAAATTTGAATCGAGAAGTAATTTTGATGATTTTTCGTAATAATATTGGATGTTTTTAATATTGATATTGCAAATTATTTATTTTAGAAAATTAGGTTGCAATTGAAAATTAATTATCATATTTTTTTGTTGAAAAAAATAGATTTTACTAGCGAATGGTTGTTGGAGCCTTAGTTGCCAACTAAAAATCACTCATAACCTTTAGTGGCAATTATTTTTGGGATTTTGTGGCGACTTTATCGCCACTAAAGGTCAAGTTCTTTTGTAGTTAATCTTAGTTGGCAACGCTTAGGTGGAGGGATTAGTCCCATGTGGCTTGCCACGTCACTAAAAATTTGTGGTGTTAACTCTTGAGGGTATTTGTGGTCGGTCTCCTGGGATAACGGCGGGGGTATTTTTTATCCCAAAATGTAATAGAGGGTATAAGTGGTCTATTTCGCATAGTTCAGGGACAATTTTGACCCTTTTCCGTTGTATATATTGTCCTATAAATATTTATGTTAGTATTTTTAGGTTCAAATTTAAATTTGAAAATTACAAAAATAATTTTTAAAAGATGGGCTGGCTCGGTCCAATGTACAGCCCATGTAAGGCCCGGCAGAGCTAACCATTTTAAGGCTCGTTGTGATGGGCAGACCTGACTTGACCTGTCAATTTTTAAGCCCATGTGAGCTTAGTTGGGCCTTATTGGCAGCTCTAATTTTCACATGGAAACTTACATACATAAATTTCACTTGTTTAGGAGCTAATTATTTAGTTACACTCTAATTTGTAATATTGCGTATTTTACCAGATCTTGTTGTGTTCAGATACATTTTGATACGTCCAGATACATGTATATCAAGATACATGGGGTCAAAATTAGGTGTAATATGTTCTAGATTTATTGTATCCAAGTGGATTCTCATATATTTGTGATACATAACAAATCTCTCTTGCCTCTCTCTCTAATCTCGCTCGTCACTCTCCTATGCATTTGATATTCCAGATACATATGAATTAAATCACACCATATACATGTATCTGGTGTGATTCGCATGTATCTAGGATACAAAACGAATCTCACTCGCCCCCATTTCCATCTCGCTTGCCTCTTTCCCTATTTTAGTGTATCTGGTAGCAAAAATACACGTATCTAAGTGTATCTTCCTTAATATATGGTAGCAAAAATGCATGTATCTAAGTGTATCTTTAGGGGCGGATCTACGAAGAGGTGTGGGGGTGCCACGCTACCCCCGAACTTCGACAGAAACTCTATATATACATAGGTATATATATATATATATATATAATATTTTATCTAAATATAAAGCATGCCACCCATAGAACAAAACTGGCTTGTGGTGCCACGGTAGGAGGGCAACTTTAGAAGGCTGATGTTGCGGGTTCGAATCCCATTTGTACCTATTTTTTTGAGAAATTTGTTGCATACGTTTTTAAGAATAAAAAAGGCTCCAAAGCACGTTTTTTTAAGGAAAAACAACTGGCACAATTTTTATTTTTTATTTATAATTGTTATTGACTTAAATTAAATTAATTACATTATTACTCCTTTGACTTTTCTTTTATTTGATTAAATACTCAATAAAAGTGTAATATCTTATTATTTATATTTTATTGATTGATTTATGATATATATCGAAAAGACGAATAATTTAATCAAATATAAAATTAATTTAATCGATAAGTCTATTGACACCCACAAACTCTAAATCCTAGATTCGCCTACTGTGTATCTTCCTCAATATATGGTACAATAATCTTAATTAGTGGTAAGATACGTAATATTTTGAAAGCATAAATAATAATAATAATAATAATAATAATAATAATAATAATAATAATAATAATAATAATAATAATAATAATAATAATAATAATAATAATATTGAAAAATAGATAATTATTGGTTTTCCATTTTACCTGAAACGGTACATCCAACCATAACCTAATTTTGATGATTATATCATGGACATTAATGATGAACTATTTAGGTAGGAAAACCATTAATGGTCCCTACAAATCATACCGTCATTTTGATCTTAGTTGGACTAATAAGTAAATTACTATTATATGTGGAAAGAGCTAAGAGAATAATGTGTTTGATCATGTGAAAGAACATTAAATTAACTTTCAATTTACATATAATTGACTTCAATTTGGATTCGAAATCTATCTTATCTAACCAACTCCCCATATATACATAATATTCACTTATGTCTATATAGAGGGGTACGTCAAACTCAAAAAACATCTACCTAATTGCACCATGACCAATATTTGAATATTGGGATTATATATGATATGATATGATATATAATATATCTCTTGAGAATTGGTTTGTTTTATATATATACTAATGGAACTTTGTTTTAATTTCAAGTGTTATTTTCTTTGTTTTAATTTGTTTGTGTCCTACTTTTGTTTTTCAGTCTATCTTTTAAAAAAAAAATGATAACTTCTTAATTTCAACTTCGATATAATATGTTTAAAACTGCAAGATTAAAGACAATTCTATATATTTTTAATTTAACATCATGAAATTCAAAAGTCTTCTTACTCCTTTTAAATCATGAATCAAGTTAAAACAAGACAAATAATTAAAACGAATAAAGGAATTAATTAGTTCGTTTAAGATACTACAACAACAACAAGATACTCGATATAATTTCTCAAGTCAAATCTAAACACGATGGAAATGAAGCTTTATTCCAACCTCATAAAAGTAATAAGCTTCCACCCTTAGTAAATTAACTGTTTGAAGATGGAGGTTCGAAAAGATCAGCCGTGAATATGTACTCAAGCATTCATTACATACATAGATTAATTATTTAAAATATAAAACTTTCTTTAATTATATGCATTAGCTTCAATAATTTGTAAGCATGTTAACATGAACTTACATTGATGTGTACATATATATTTTATATGAATAATTCATGCAAGTAACTGACGCTCGAAAACGCATATATGAACTTTTTAAAATATGAGCAAAAACTATTTTATAATGTATTCAGATATCTAATTGAATCAGGCTATAATATAAATATACAAATAAAAGTAAATAAATTTAAGAGATTGTCGATATATTCATCCCGAAAGAAAAGAGGGACAAAGCAAATCAGATCATCTACATGTGTCCATGAAACACAGAATGGCATGCTTGAGACAGAAAATAAACGACAACATAAAAGCAAAAAAGGTTACATTTATTTAATTTTAACTCAATAAGAATCCATATTGCTATTTCATGTGTGGGTCTATTTATGGACAACTTATGTTTATTTGTAGACAAGGTTGGTTTTATGTGGGACATTTTAATAGAGATCTCATAATCCATAACACTCTCAACTTGGACAAAAATAGGGAAAAGTAATCTCACTCATACATCAAATATCTCTAACTTGTCCCTACATTAGATACTTATTATTGTACAATTTTTACACTAATCAAACATGACACTTATTAGTTTAATAATCAATTGTAAGATGTGGAAGTTGACCTACCTTACTATTTTTTAAAAAGTTTTCTTGATCGGTATTTCAATATCTATATTGGAATTCGACTAAATCCAAATTTTCATCGAAAAATTTCATATCAAGGGAAAGCACTCCCTAAAAAAGGTGATTTTGTACCTAGGGGACTCAAATCTTAATCCTCCACTTAAGAATGAAAAAAATACCTATCACTACATCATAACCCTTATTGATACATGTTTTACTCCTTTGATATATAAAAAAGATAAAAGAAGATAGAAGTTAATGTAAAAAGTGATGCAATCAATCTTAGGGCACACACTAATAGGCCCCTAAAAGTAATTAGAAATAAGAAATATACTAACACTAGTTATTTACCGACTTATATGCTTTCTTTGTTTCAAAAAGAATGATGTTGTACTTTTCTTTTTATTGTGTTTCAAAAAGAATAACTTCTTTTTTTTTTACAACATTTTAATTTCATATAACTAAGCTACTAAGATTTCTCTTGGCTTATGACTTTAGTCAAAAGTCATCAGTTTTTACCTTATTACTTTTGGCTTATTTTTATTAGTTTGACTTAAAAAATATTTTTTTATTTTACCCAAACACTATAAAATCTCCTTTAAACTATTTTAATTTAAAAATATCTAAAATAAAATG